CTATTGAGATGGCCGACGGCCAAACCCAAAGTGAAGTTAAGCGCGGAGAGGCGGCTTGAAACGATCTTGACAGCCCTCCACAGAAGCAGTGAAACAATAACAGGGTTGCCGACTAGAGAACGTAAACATCACGCCAGGCGCGTCAAGTAAATTGTCAGGCCTGAGCGATACGGAATCCGGTGATGATACGCCAGACATCATATATCATATACAAGACATGTAACGAACTAAAAACGTTACAACACCCTGTATAAATTTTTAAAAAATCTTAAAATATGTAAAAACACAAAATAAAATATCCGTATTTAAGCGTTTTTTCGGAAAACTCACCGGTTCTTAAATAAAAAATATTCTAATATTTGAGGGGTGGTTTCACCCCCTTAGAATTCGAGTTTTGAAAAATCCCTTCTTATCGAATCTCTACACCCTAAAGTCAATCCGTTTTCCAAAAATCAGCTTTTTACATCAAGCGCTTTAAGCAGGATCGTGATTAATCAATGACCAGATGTTTCGAAACACCCTGTATACATTTTTAAAAAATCTTAAAATATGTAAAAAACAAAATAAAATATACGTGTTTAAGTGTTTTTTCGGAAACTTGACCGTTATTTAAATAAAAAATATTGTAATATTTGAGGGGTGGTTTCACACCCTTGGAACTGGAATTTCGATAAGTGGACAAATAAACCTTCGAAGCTTCACCCAATAAAGAATAATGCATGGAAGACTCATATATCTGACTGTGGTGTTACTATAATATATTCTTACCTATTTTTCTTGTCATTAGTATTGTTTGCTTTTGATTTTTTTCTCCCTTTTTGTATCTGTTTTCTGTTTTTATGTTTTATCACCCAACTTAAAATATTTATGTTGGTATACTCATTGTGTCATGTTGTGACAAAAACTTTCCTTTTATTGAAAATTTAAGTCAAAATATTGCGAACGGCTACTCTTATATCGGAGGCGGTGGGAACAAGCTTTTGCTTCTGCACTTGGCTAAAAATATAATACCCGCCTTACACTGCATACCAAAGGGCGCCACTTATTTCAACCGGGGTCGTTTAGAGACGGTCTTGGTTATATTCGAATAATAAATATTTAAGTTTTATTTGACTTATTTCGAAGATTCATGAACGTTTTTGTTTATATATATAGTCAAGGGAAAAAATTTAAAATCTGTACCCAAGATTGCCCTTACAGGTCAAAGATCCTAATGATATAAAAGGTTAACATAAATAGATGTTAAATCCGAATAATCAATCAATATAACATGGTTATTTTAATAATCAAATACAAGTAAAATTTAAGCAATGCTGAAGGCAAATACTTAAAAAAAATACTTAAAGTGTTAAAAAAAATATAAAATGTAACAGAACGTTAAATTTTATAAATTAAGGGTTAAAGTAATGCTGAAGGCAAGTACTTAACCAGTTAAATGTAAAATGTTAAGAATAGTTAATTTCTTAACACACAAAATCAAATTAATAAAATTTTAGATTACTATAAAAAAATATACTGGCCTTGTATACCAAATTATACTAAAAAAAGGATCTTTCAACCATCCAATTCTCCTCAGAGGGGTGCAGGGCTGAAATCTAACCTAACAGGCTGCTACTGATTAACTCGGTGATTGAAAAACTCGAAGAAAAACTTATAGAAAAACTTGGCGAAAAACTTCTAGACACAAGTGTAGAAACACTGTAGAAAAACGTCTAGAAATATTTGAAGAAAAATCCAAAGAAAAACGTTGAGAAAAACCTAAAAAGAAATGCACGGTAGAAGTTAACCTTACATTTAAAAACCCTTGAAAAATTTACGACGGTATTAATTTACCTGATTGTGAAGGCACACAATCAATAATTCAACATTTCTTCTCAAACAAGGGCTGGACACTTCTCATCAAAAAAACTGGAATCTAAAAGAAAGGCATGTGAAGATTTTTTCTAACGAAAGGAATATCAAAGAAAATCTTACAAAGACTATAGATCCTTTAAAATCTAAGCAATCAAAATCTATATGGGACCTTCAACCATCTATAGGATAATAAAATCACAATATTTTTCCCATATTGTGAAAAATACCAGCCAAATAAATTTAATCCTCAAAAAATGGCACGGTGACCTCGGCAACGGCCAAATCCGAGGTGACGATTTTGACGTTTCCCGTCTTGTCGATACACCAGGGTACGATCCAATACTTTCGATAGAGAGCGTTCCGAAATTTAAGTGTTGTAGAAATGTAAAAAGAATATCGATACAATAATAAAAAAACCGTCTATAATAAAACAAAGTAGCATTTGGAAAATGAAAATGCTACCATGTAAAATAGTCAATTTGAATTTTGACCTGTGACTGTTAATGTCCAGGGACTAGTTGTGCAACGCAGTGTACAGGGATCCCTGTAATGCTTGATTGCTCCTGAGCCTTATGAGGAAAATAAAAATGCACTGTCCATGGCTAATGATCCTAGAGATTGATACTTAGAGAAGAAAAAATGAAAGTAAGCATCAGACCTGAAGAAACCCAGACCAGACCAACTGTTTATTTACATCAAACTGGAAATAAGTCGTACGTACGGAAATATCGGTCGAAATAAACTCGAATTTACAATAAACAAACAAAACGAGGAACAGTAAACAAATAGTTGTTTCGATATCGAGCCGAAGGAGAAAATATCAATGTCGTTACGGGTAAACATTTAAAAGGTCCAAAACTAATATTTGAACTAGCGAATGTATTCTACCGCTCGGCTCAAGCAGATTGAACAAATTTTCGATTGACGTAATATCCTGTGTCAATTTAACAACATTCTGAATCCAAAATGTATTTATTATTTCAGCGTCTCGCGCGTTTACCGTTGACCCTGAGGTCGTTTACCCAAATTTAATAACTTATATTTTATGATGTTTAGATTTCTGTGAACAAATTAGATTTGGTTATTATGAGGGTTATACCAAATAATTTGTATAGTAGGGTGTTTGAAAACAAATAAAAAGAAATCTTATGATGTTGAAAAGTTGAAAGTACATTGGTAAACAAAAATTTTGTCGCCTAGTAGAACCCTTAATATTAATATTAAGGTTTGCCTCAATTTGTTGTTTTTCGATTTAAATAACACGGATTTTTTTTTTATTTTTGAATTTTAATTATTTCGGAATTTTTGTTTCCGCAACATCCTCGCGAAAAGATTTATAGGAAATTTCACGCTCTACAAAAAACGTCTAGAGGCCAAAGTTCCTCAGATCAATCGCCTCAAAGATATCAGCCATCAAAAATATCACCAATCGAAAATTTCAAATATTTTCCAATAAAACTACTACTTTACGATTTTTCTATTATTTTAAATAAAATACAATGGTGGGGTTTGGTTAGTTAGTGTAATAAGGAATTTTGAATTTTCTTTTTAGATAAATTTATAAATTCTATAAAATATAAAAAAAAATTGTTATAAAAGATAGTCAAAACTGATTTATTTGATATTTTTAACCTTTATATTTATATATTAACAAAAAAATAACAAAAAAAATTGATTACAGTCATAGGTCACCAGAACTGAAGTGATTTTACAGTAAAAATTATATGAATATCGAGTATGATATTTTTTTTTGAAGTTTTATTGGAAAATATTTGAAATTTTCGATTGGTGTTATTTATGATCGCTGATATCTTTGGGACGATTGATCTGAGGAACTTTGGCCTTCAGAGGTTTTTTGTAGAGCGTGAAATTTTCTATAAATCTTCTCGCCAGGATGTTGTGGAAACAACAATTCCGAAATTATTAAAATTCAAAAATAAAAAAAAATCCCTGTTATTTAAATGAAATAAGATAGACCTTTGTGACAGACGGACGGACAGCGAAGTCTTAGTAATAGGGTTCCCGTTTTTACCCTTTGGGTACGGAACCCTAAAAACAACAAATAAATTGAGGCAAACCTTAATATTAATATTAAGGGTTCTACTAGGCGCCAACATTTTTGTTTTTGAATGTACTGTCAACTTTTCAACACCATAAGAAAAAAAATGTTTTTATTTTTATTTTGAAACACCCTAATGTATAGTAGGAACATAAATACATAGAAAACCTTTTTATTATTACGAACTTATTTGAAAAAAATGCATTGTTCATTAAAGATTTTTGCTTGGTCTAAAAAATGTAGGATGTATGGGAGGAGGGTTGATCACCGCGACCTTACAGATCTATTCTCTCTCTTTTTGAGTTATAACTCATCATACAGTCTCAGGGCTTTGACAAAAGCTAGTATCTGAGGCGGTATTACCGAGGTTAGTGCTCCAATTCTGAGATCAGTTGTACCAAAGTTTATGGCATGAATAGGTGTCGTCTCGGCACACTCAGAGATGAAGTTTTCTGGTGTTTCTCCATTATCCCCACAGAATGTGCACTTGCCGTTTTTTCTTAAGCTTCAATCTACGGAGGTGTTCATTGATGAGACTGTGTCTTGTTAAAAACCCCGTGAAATCCGAATATTGGTCTTACTTTTAAATAGAGGAGATATTTTACAAAAAATAGCTTTTTTATTTGATAGATTTATCCTTTTGTGACGACCTACCCAGGCGTTACCATTTTTGTTATTACCATTTTACCGAGTACATTGAAGATGAACAATCAGACTTTAACTGGTTTGAAAACGAATCCGCTAAAACGGTAGATGGTGGTAATACTTAGGTACTACCTGTCCAAACTACTATGTTTACGCACGCAATACCTCAAGTCACCCATATACCCTCTCAAACCAGCAATTTAACCATTACTATAGCGAGCGGTTTCCGTACTGATATACTGAAGTATGATTCGCGTGTCTTTATGGTCCACTGATCACCGATAGGGTACTCGATGTATTTTCACCAAAAATTAAAAAAAGACAGATTCTATACTGTAAAAATCGGTAATATTATTTAAAAAAAAAGAAAATAAAGGAAGTTAATATTTTTAATAACACCGATGTATTTGTTGGACTAATTTGTGTTTTTCTTTGCTTCTAGGGTCCGCCACAACCTGGACAGCCGTTCAAGTTTACCGTTGGGGAGTCTTGCGATAGGATTAAGGAAGAATTCAATTTTTTACAAGCGCAATATCACAGGTGAGCTCATTTTTATATACAGGGTGGTCCGAACTGTATTCCGGAAACTTCGGCAGCATATTCTGCAGATAAAAATAAGTAAAAAAGTTTGTATAAATGTATGTCCTAAAATGGCTTAGTTTCGGAGATACAGGGTGTAGAAGTTTTTTTTATTTCGATTTTTTCCAAATAATTTCTGAAGTAGCGTGAATATTTGGATGGAAATTGGTGTCTGGGTGTTGTTTGACATGAGAAATTTGATTTTGATGTCAATATGACTCCTACTTGTAGAGGGCACCACCTACATATTTTTATCTGGTATGAAGAGTAATAACTTTTCGTCCGTACCTTTTAAAAAAGATCCCTTAAAGGTAAAAGTCGCTAGGAATAATGGTTCTCGAGATATTTGGAATTGAAATTATCTATATCTATCATCATTGACATAAATTAAACATGTTGACTAAATAGTTATTAGACTGAAATTATCATTTTTTCGCCGAAAAAATTATGAACAATTTTTAAAGTATCAGACTTTTCCAAAGGTTCCGCTAATTCTTCTTCTGATTCGTCTTCTTCTTCGCTTAAATTAGGAATTGTAAAATTTACATCAGGGTCTTCTGTGCAAACTTCTTCGTCCATGTTTACGAATGTCTCGTAGTTAATATTGGCGCCGGAGTCCTTTAAACATTTCTTTGACATTTTATTTCCGTGGTTGCGGCACAATCGCAAACATATTATTTAATACTGAATGACAGACAGCGAAAGCAGCAAAAGCACGAGGACTTACTTAGGGGATTTACCTATTTCCCTTTACTGCTGGACTTCCTCGCGATAAACGGCATATTTTGTCCGCTCATCAGAACGTCGTGTCCGCCTATGGGGAATTTTTCTCTTTGAAGGTCCAAAAATCTTTTGTCCGCGTCCGCATTGTAGAGCGTCCGTTTAACAAATATTTATAGTATACTGTCACTTATGGACTTCTGACGGTGCAAATGAAATTGTCCGTTTAAGAGGAATATTCGTCTAGAGACATAGAGACGTCCGTTAAGGAAGATTTTACTGTATTGATGTTATTTCAGAAATTACTTGAAAAAAATCGAAATAAAAATGAAACTTGTGAAACTGTATCTCAGAAACTAAACATGTTAGGACAGGACATACATTTATACGAACTTTTTTACGAATTTTTATCTGCGGAATATGCTGTCGAAGTTTCCGGAATACAATTCGAACCACCCTGTATAACATTGACACTACTCACTTTTTACAATCTTTAATGTGTCACATTAGCTACCTTTAATTCCTTCTTCCATTCTCTTAAATTTCCACTGACGTATCCCCCACTCGTCTGTTTCTCTCATTTCATTCCCGATTTCCTTTCTCTCTTTTCTTTGCGGTTATTCTGATTTCTGGTCGTCGTGCTTCGGTGACAAGACGGAGACAAGAAGCCGAGGAACGCGTACACGCATCGGCGGGTTCCGACATGGAACCAAGCACCAGGATATCACGTCCGCAACTACCGTAACATCGCCGACACAACACTGACCATTCAAATGGAGACGGCTGGACGTAAATTGACGACGTTTCGCTCGTTTTACGCCGCCATTGCCAGCCCCAGACAAAGACCGATTCTTTTTATTTGAGACGTGTATGAGGATAGCAGGATGAATGAAGAGACCAAAGATATGACTTATTTCAGATACAAGCAAATTCATCGTTTAATTTAATAACGTACTTTCATATTTTTAAAATGTCCCTTCTATATATCATTATTTGTTGCTACAAAATATTTTTGTTTCAAATAGAATTTAAATTTTTATTTCTTTATTATGGTTCTGAAAATAAAAATATATAAATTAATGTAGACAGAACGCGTTCTTATGATTTTAAAAGCTCAACAGGCGATAAAAACATATATTTTTATTTAAAAGCGCTATCACTAGCCAACATAGCGGAATTTTAATTCATTATTTTATAAAATTGACATGGAGTGGGACACAAATAATCTACATTATATCATATTTGTGTCCAAAATGAATCGACAATGAATGGAAACCTTGTGAGGAAACCTTGTTTCCAAAATGTTTCGATTTAGTGCTACCTGTGTAGAAATTTCGAACTACTCACCTGTTAACGCCAATCAAAACTTCTGGCCAAATTAATTAAAACATTTTTTTTTTATTTACTTATTATAACACAATTAAAACATAAAAACGTACAGGGTTGTTCACCACATACGACACGGAGTATTGTAGCTAAACGATTAGATTTTTACAAATTCTAAGTTCTGGGTTCGTTGAAGGACTATTAGGGCTACAATTTAAAAATATTTTTACAAGATACAGAGTGTCCCAAATAAATAAAAAATAACAAAGTTGTATTTTTTTAAATGGAACACCCTGTATATTATTACATTTTTAGTTTCTACGATTAAAATAAAAGTAAATTTGATAAAGGTTTATTACACTTAAACCTTACCGTTTTTGAAATATTTTCAATTTTGTGAAATTGCAGTCAAAATTTTAAGGCTTCATTTCTCCAAGGGTATCAAAGATTTTAATCTTAAATATTTACTGAAGCTTATTTATTGATCAGTTATTGTGTGCTGAATAATAAAAATATACAACTTATACAGAGTGTCTAAAATTTTATTTTAAATAATTACTAGCTTTAAACGGGAATAACTTGTTTAATTTAAATGGAACATCCTGTATATTGTGTATGAGAATCAGATGCGCAATTTAATTGTCTATCAAATTGTATTATACCATTTTTTAACTATCTCTTCAACTTTCCGTAGAAAATGCATTTTCTTGTAATTTAGAACTCATTTATCAATATACCCATGGAATACTAACATTTTAGATTATTTTTAAAGATGTACCAAATTTGTAGTAGTTATAATTAGAGTACAGATACTAATATTGTCGATACAGTTTGTTTATTTCATTAAAAAATTAAAAAACTGTTTAAATATTTATTAAAGAGGACCAATTAATATAATTTCAGTATTCAAACTACATTAATTGACTGTTTGCGTTGATTAATAATTATTGCTCCAAATACTAAAAAACTGAATTTTGTATGTGTATTAGACAGTGTGGTAAAAAGTAACACCTTAAAAATGATATTTAATTTTTTGACAAATGCTTATTGAGAGACATTCATTTTCATAACTTATTATTATATTGATTTCTGATTCAAATCCAAATTTATTTAGAATAATTTATTAACGAACATAATTATTAAGCATGTAATTAATTAGTATTTGGGCGGAAATAATATTGGTATATTTAATTAATGGTATACCCTTTTAAAATTATTTAAATAGTTTTCTTTTTGCATACAAATGGGCTAGTAATATTATCATTTTGCTAAAAACGATAATATTACTAGCTTGTACATTTTGTACATCTGCCTCTTTAAAAACAATCTAAAATGTCAATATTCCATGGGTATATTGATAAATGAAGTTTAAATAATAAGAAAATGCATTTTCTACGAAAACTTGAAGGGATAGGTAAAAAATGGTATAATACAATTTGATAGACAATTAAATTGCGCATCTGATTCTCCTAAAATATACAGGGCGTTCCATTTAAATTAAACAAGTTATTGCCGTTTAAAGCTAGAAATAATTTAAAATAAATTTTTAGACACCCTGTATGAGGTGGAATTATTTTTACTATTGCAACACAATAACTGGCCAATAAATAGACTTCAGTAAATATTTTTTATTAAAAACTTTGATACCCTTCGAGAAATGAAGCCTTAAAATTTTTACTGCAATTTCACAAAATTGAAAATATTTAAAAAACGGTAAGGTTTAAGTGTAATAAACCTTAATCAAATTTACCTTTATTATAACCGTAGAAACTAAAAATGTAATAATATATAGGGTGTTCCATTTAAAAAAATACAACTTTGATATTTTTTATTTATTTGGGACACTCTGTATCTTGTAAAAATATTTTTAAATTGTACCTCTAATAGTCCTTCAACGAACCCAAAACTTACAATTTGTAAAAATCTAATCATTTAGCTACAATACTCCGTGTCGTATGTGGTGAACAACTCTGTATATTCCATTGTGGAAAAAAAAACGTTTGTTGGTAACATTTTCTTCGGTCTCCAGTTGGGTATGGTTAGTGGCTGTTATTACATTTATTCCTAAAACAAATCATCTCTGTAAGGCGTATAATAAATTATTATAAAATCGCATAAGAAATATCTGTATTTGTACTCACCATATATCCTTCCTTCTGCTTTTTTTAATTATAGTACTATAAAAACTTGAAGAATGCTCAAATGCAAAAACTGCAGAACAAAATCAGAACAATAAAGTAAGGTTATGTTCTCATATTTGACAGAATATCAAATAAATTATGGAAACTTTTCAGGCACAAAACGGGTACGAAATATTTGTAAATGTGAGCCATATCTGTTTCTTAAAAGTTTCGAAAAGTTTGTGACACTAAGATCTTTATTGCTATAGCTTATCTAGCTATCTAACCATATTTTCGTAAAATGTTTCGAAACGAAAAGCGATTTATGTTACGAAACATATGTATCAAAAATGTGACAAAACTGTTTCGCAATGTTTCCCAGCAGAGATTTTGTTTCCATTTTGTGTCTAAAAATGCTCTTTGGGATATATTCAAATTCTAAAATATCCTAACCAGAAGCCATAAAATTTTACACACTAGATACTTTTTTAAACGTAATAATTGATGCAATTAGTTTAATTTCACTTCCTTTTTAAATTTACAAAAAAAATATAAAAATATCGACATCATCACGATTTTAAATTACTTAGTAATTTTTATGCATATTAAAATTATGTTTTTTATAACTGTATAAATTATAAATAAAATACTTATTAAATAAATTATCTCTTACTTTGACATCAGAGAAAATGACGTCATTATTACACGAATAACATGGTAAGTTGTAAAAATGTTTCAATTTTCTAAATGATATCCCAAAATAACCGCTTTTTTTGTCATTCGACAAACAACAAAATTTCACAGTTTAACACCCATTCTCAAATCAATTAACTCCAACGCTAATTTCCAAATACACGCCTTTTTTGCGGTTAAAAAATAATATTTTGCCGCAAAAAATACTGACTTTTTTTCCAGCCGCGAACCAATGGATCGGAAATTCATAAAACAACCGAAAACGCGAACTTTTGGTGTTTTTAAGGGAAACAATGCGGTTTATTCCATAATTTAATTCTCGTTTGATACGGTTCGGACGTTTCGACGGGGATATTTTCACCCGGAATTTGATAATCAGGTTTTTTTAATGATTCATTTCAAACACGAGAACGAAAAAATTGATTCGATTAAATTCGGTGAAAAAAACTGATTCTTTGCCTGTATAATTGCTTTTATTCCCCCATTTTTTGTCTGTTTAGGATATTTTTTACGTTAGTTTACGTGTTTTTTATGTTTCAGTCTAAAATTGGAATGCGAAAAGCTGGCCAGCGAAAAAATAGAGATCCAAAGGCATTACGTAATGGTAAGTTTGCAGTTTGATTATTTCATTTTTTAGTTTTACATTGAGTGTCCCTAGTAGTCGTTAATCAGTTAATAGTCAGCTCTCAGCAATGAAGCTCTACGGAAGCGTAGAGCTGCTATACCAACGTTGAAAAAGATTTTTAGAAAAATTTGCAGTTCTGTAAATTTATAGTTTCTCTGTAAATTCTAAATTAACACTTTTTCTGTAAATTTGCACATGTTTTGTAAATTTACACTTTTTCTGTAAATCTACATTTTTTCTGTAAACTTGTACTGTAGATTTATACATGTTTTGTAAATTTACAGTTTTTTGTAAATGTACACCTTTTATGTAAAATTACACATTTTCTGTAAATTTACAGTTTTTCTGTAAATTTGCAATTTTTCTGTAAATTTATATTTTTTCTGTAAATTCTAAATTTACACTTTTACTTTAATTTACACATGTTTTGTAAATTTACAGTTTTTCTGTAAATTTACAGTTTTTCAGTAAATTCTAAATTTACACATTTTCTGTAGATTAATTTCTGTAGAAGTATAAATTTACAGAAAAAGTGTAAATTTACAGAAAAAGTGTAAATTTACAAAAAAAAGTGTAATTTTACAGAAAAATTTTAAATTTACAAATTTACAAAAAAAGGTGTAATAATGAGTAATAATGTGTAAATTTAAATTTACAGAAAAGTGTAAATTTTGCTAAAAATATTTTTCAATGTTGCGATGGCAGCTCTACGCTTTCGCACTATTTTGACCATCATTTAACTGTTTAATAAATATCAGAAAGGTATATTTATGGTTGGTGTATGCTAATAAAACTAAATCTATTTTGAATGCTATAAAAAATTAATGCACTCTGGAATCCTGAATAAAACTAAGACACTAAAATGATTTTACAACAGTAACATTTTTTTCGTTAAGTGCTTTAAGCCATTTATTGCCCGTCATTTCAAAATACTCCTAGAAGGTTATTCTCAGCAGGTAGAATTCAACACTAATTTGTCATCCTTTTAGAAGCCGAAATAAAATCTCTTTTTCAATAGGCTGAACACCTGAGCAAATCCCTCGAACCGAGGGTTTCAGTAAAATCTGTTTTTCTATGGGATTAAATATTTTTTACAAATGATCTTTAGAAATGGACTAGGGTAGGACATTAGTATAATTTAATGTGTTAGATACTTTTAGTTGTTATTTTCCCGAATTTACTTTTAGTATTTAAATGTTACACTTGCTATTGTAACGTTTAAATACTTTTAGTAAATCGAAAAATAATTCTAAAAGATATAACACATATTTGGTCCATACCAATAATTAAACTTTTAGTCACGTGATGAATCTGGACCGGTACAGCGTTGCCCACTTTTAAATATTTTCTTTTAAACAAAATATTTTAGGAAACCAAAATAAATTAATTACAAATATATAAACATTTATTATTTGCATCAACAAAACTCACCTTCTTAACAGCACTTAAAGGGCCATTACTACCGCTTTTCCGTTAAAAATACTATAATAAGGTTGAGATAACTTTTTGTTTCTTATCCTTCTTACACTTATCTTATACACTTCGCACTAAAAAAGGTTCTAAAAAGAACAATGTTCGACCACAAGGTTTCCTATTATATATAAACATCTGTAAGCTTTAAGTATCACCAGAGGCGGATCAAGGGGGGGGGGGAAGGGGCGGTATTTCCCTGGAAGCACGTTTAAGAAAAAAATATTTAAAATTTTTGGACGAAAAAAACTACCTGTCAAAAAAGTTTAATTTAGTGATTATCACAGCCCCTGTGACATAAAGAAAAGACATGTGGCTATCTATTTCAAAAATTAAATTGTTCATATGTCATATAATAATGGCGGTAGCTGTCATGAAATTGAGCGATTAAAAAATTATCATAATTTTTTTTCCAAATGGCAATCCACTTTTTTTATTTCACTAGTGAAAAGGTTTTCCATTTCGTTACGTTTTAACTAGACATATTCCTATACCTAAAATAAATCGTTTTTAAGTTATTTAAGATTTAGTTTGAAAACGTATATTTTTCTTGATTTTATCTAGCTTCCTTTGGCATTAAGTGTCAAACAGTCAGACAATTTATTTCCAACTGTCAGAAAATGAATTATTTGAATTTCCTATATTATAACTACTGCTGCCTTAAAAGTTTATAAAGTGTATTTATATAAATATATCTCGTATTTTCGTTCTATATACGTATACGTTTCGTTCTATATATCGTTCTGTTTTTTTTTCGATCATACGGTACTTGCGATAAGTCTTAAAACTTAACTTACCCTTTATTAAGGCTCCAATTATTCTATTATCGGCATGGAAGCTTAAAATTGCTTAGCGGGTAAATTTTAGTTTATTTTTATTCTATTATACAATGGATAACTGCCTTGGTAAATGTTAGAAGAGAAATTTTTGAAAGAGTTTCAAAAACAAATTAAGATTGGCTCTGAGACTACGTCTAATAAGCATTTAGGAGATTTTATCACTGCCATTTTGATGGCAAACAAAAGAAAAATAGGGAAGCGAGCCGCAATAGAACTTCGCAAAATATAGACTGTCCAGTAAAATTATTAGTAACTATCAAACAATTTCTTCCAGACACAGAATTAAAAAAATATGAGATTAGGAGAGGTAATAAATCCAAAAAATAAAAATATGTCTTATTTTTTTTCTATTCATATATTTTACTAGACTAGTCTAATACGTACTTTAGCAACCGTCCGTCGCTGTACCCGACCTAATCCGAGCGGCTAATGTGAATTACGAATATTTGAAGAAGACACTAACATTTTTTCCTATTTTTTACATAAAAACCATGCCCTTGCTTTTGGTTCCAGTCAACAGACCTATAAAATAGTGTTCATGATTTATGTAAAAGTCACTGTCTTTGAAAAATCATATTATTATTGTCTGTCGGGCAGTTACTCCAGCAGATATAGTTTTAAGTCCAAAAGTTGATCTCTGCCATGATCAATAAAAGCAGCAATAGTCGATACTTCAGAACTTACAACCATCTCTACTAGAGTAAACGCCAATAAACAATAATAGTATGACTTTTCAATGACAGTGACATTACGAAACAATAAACACTATTTTATAAGTGTGTTGATGAAGACTCAAAATCAGTGCTAAAATTGCTGTAAATCGCTACCATAGAGAAATATAAAATAAAAGAGTTGTCATTTCCATAGTCAAAAGTAGGCAACACGTTTAACGAGGATCGATTGTAGCGCACCCTTGAGCCCTAACTGAACTAAACGAAATATGACAGACCTTATCGGTAAAATAGGTATCTGCATTGCCTACCACAAAAAAGGCGGGCTGTTTAAATGTGAATATAAAATTTTGTGTATTTTTAAAAATATTACGAAATTAAAACTGCAAAAATATAATGAAAGTTTATTTTTAAAAACGGAATATTTGAAAAGTATAAACTATTGTACACTTTTCAAATGCTTACAGTTAAATGCTAAATTAAATTTGATAATATAAAACATATATGCTGAATTAACTTCGAGGGGTAAACTCCTGATGAATTTCTGTACACTAATGCCAAAGTAATGCCAAATAATTTAGTACTAATACCAATAATGCAAATCTTGTACACCACCAAAATACACCAGCGGTTTACCCTTCGATTTACCTATAGTATTATAAAACGTATTTAACAACGCCACTAACAAAGCATATAAGATCGCAGGGTTTGCAATCTATGCTATTATAACAGATAAAGATTTAAATAAGACATCAAAAATTAATTCACCTTTAAGTTGAATTTATAAACTCAGCAGTCAGCAGTTGAAGTTCAGTTGAGGTAGCAAATGTTCAACACTATTAAATGAAGGCGCAAATTTATAGTCAGTTCGTTTTACGTTCACAGAGTTCAGAGATGGGCAATGTCTTTACATATCGAACTTGCTTTGCATGATACCCTTTCCTGGATCGTGTTCAAATCACATCATCGGCTGAACAAAATATTACATGATGATGGCAAAACACAGCACAAAATATAAAGTTCAAATCATAGAGAAATATAAGGTCTCTGGTTCCTCGGGAAATAAAACTTCGTCCATAATTTCGTACGCACAAACACAACACAAACAAACAAAGTTTATGCTACACAAAATAATAACAAAATTCCAAAATTCAAAACAAAATTGTAAACAATTGCAAAATACAAATAATTTGCTGTCATGTCACTTGTCATTCTTGTAATGACACGTGACAGGTAGCAGGTGGCGACGCTTTGGAGCCCTAACTGAACTATGCAACATTATGGCCAAGTTAGACAACCTTTCAAACACTCTTTTATTTTAATTACTTTATGATCGCTACTGTCTTATTCAAAAGTGAATATCTCCAATATAAATAAAGCTATTGCGATGAATCGAAAAACAAACTATCCAGAAAAGACGTACCTAGATGATATAATTATTTTTAAAATGCTTGCTTTGTTAACATATTCCGCAGGGTGTTTCAAACTTTCACCAAAATATAAACATTTTGTTTTCCCTCGTATTGGAAATATATACGAGGTCCACTGACAGATGGAAACTTTCATTTTTAATTTAGAAAGAGATACTAAAAAATCAAATAATTTAGCTACAAACTGCTTAAAATATCATCAAAATCGGCCCACTAATACAAAATATATTAAACCTTAAAATACATCAAAATTTTAAGGTGACCGTTTTTCGTTTTTTTTTTTTTGATTTAAGAGGTGAAGGGGGAAACCTGCAACAGGTACTCGCCTGGTAAAACCTCCTATGTGCCAGACGAGTTATGTGGGATTTTTACCTCACTAAAACCTAACCTACACCTCTGTCCTCTCTCCAGGAACGTTCTTTCCCCGGCGGCACTCTTTGTAAATACTACTTCGCCGGGGCGTTCTTATTTAGTGTTACTGCTGTCTATTCTTCGTAGGTGGTGCGAAGATCCTTGACTATGGTCTCAGCATACTCCGCGACCTTGTTCCATGCCGATTGACTCTTCAG